GTTGTGTTATACAGTACAGTGTAGTTACTTTACACTGGTTGTGGTATACAGTACAGTGTAGTTACTTTACACTGGTTGTGGTATACAGTACAGTGTAGTTACTTTACAGTCCGGCACCATTTGTGCTCCGGATATTCTGCTGAATTAGGGAGGGTGCTGGACTAACAAATCTGATTTACTGCTGCAATGTGCACGAAGAGGACATTTTCGGCGACTGAAAATTGTGCTCGTTTATAGAGGGTGCTGGTTTATAAAGTGCTGGAGGGGAGAGGGACGGCTTTTGTTACTTTATTTTTTTTTATTTGTTTTTTTTACTAAGGCCACGGCTTTCAATCATGACATGCAAAGCAGCGGTGCATCATCGCAGGCATGAATCGTGGACGTGGTGACGGGGTCTGATATGCTCCACCGACCTAGGGTCTCGGCTTCACTGCACAGCAAACGCGTCTTGCCGGTCTTGCGGTTGTTCCTGTGGCACGTACTCGGTATACATATTGATAAACAAGCTACGCGACGCCAATTTGTGTATTCTCCAACCACACACATGCACGCGATGACTAACTGCAACTGAATTCTGTCTTTGTGTGTGTGTGTGTGTGTGTGTGTGTGTGTGTGTGTCTGCAGGCAAGGTGAAGGTGCAAGACATCATGTCCTGCAAGTTTCTTGACGAGCTTCTTCAGGTGTGCTTCTGTGTGTGTGTGTTTTTTTCTCTCGACAAAATCCACTTATCTTCAGACACTGGGGTGAATAATGGAGTGTGGTGGTGGGGCCCATTGTGTGTGTGTTTGTGTGTGTGTGTGTGCATGCGCATGTGTGTGTGTGTGTGTGTGTGTGTGTGTGTGTGTGTGTGTGTGTGTGTGTGTGTGTGTGTGTGTGTGTGTGTGTGTCAGGGCTGCCACTTGCTCCGATTTTTACGAAACCGTCGGATTTTTGATCGCTTGTCCGACAAACCGACCGATTTTGTTCCCAAAGAGGGACAACCGATTATTTTATTTTGAGCGCTTTTTAGTCCAGTTGGCCATTAATTCCGCGCTTCCAGGTCGCATTTGGCCGGTCTGCATAATTGACATGGTTGAAGTGCGTGTGCTGGACAGTTAAAAATGTGTTCTGGGGCCTCAACAGCAAGCCATTTCCCTAAAAAATGTCATCGCAGGGCCCTGCCCCCTGAACCCCCGCCGGGGGACACCCCCGCACCCCCGTCAGATTTTTATCCCTCCAAGTGTGGCAGCCCTGGTGTGTGTGTGTGTGTGTGTGTGCGCGTGCGTGCGTGTCTTTGCGTGTGTTTACGTGTTCGTACTTCAAAGTATATCTGGGCATGTGAGTACGCGTATGTAATTTGCGTGCTTATGTGTGTGTACTATCTGTGTGTGCGTCTATTTGCGGTGCAGAGTCGTGTTCATTTGTGTCTCCCCCCTCCCCCCCCCCCCCTCACACACATGCACCCCCCCCCCCCCCCCCACACCCACACACACTCACTAACTAATTACCCCGCTCACACATGGGCACGTCGGTGTGTTCCTTGTCGTTGGCGTGCATGTCTGTAGCTACGCGACGACAAGCTGACGGCCGACCAGCAACGTTGCAACTGGTTTTCAGCACCGCACGCTCTGAGGGTATACGGTAGGTTGTTCTGTGTAACACTTGTTGGCGTTGGGACGTATGCATCAATTTCTCGCCGCCGTTAGGTTTTGCATGGCAAGTCCACTACAACCGTACACACTGTCATACCAACTCTGCATAAAAGATCATGAACTTTGTGAGCTCATACTCTGAAATGTACTATAACGGGTTGTACCTGCCAAGTATGGGGTAACTTGCCCCGGCCCAAAGGTGACGGCCATCTTAGATACATACATCCCACTGTAACCCTCAATCCACTTTGACTTTTTTTCTTCCGTTCCCGGTATACTGGGGTCCGTTTGGTCTCCGGTAATATTTTCCTGAGTATTCATGCGCTGCATTCATGCTGCTACCCACAGTCAACTGGGAACTTGTGGCCAGGCACAAGGGGTACAATGGATGCGACTAATGGAGGGGATACTCCGTCTGCGTTTTTGTATCAGGCGTTCGATTTTTCCCGCCACGTTCCATGTTGTCACGGCTATTCGGGGGAAAACGTCACGTACACCACACTTTGGGCGTGGTGTGAAGAGCCAAACTCAGCATTAGGAAGTTTTGCTTGCGCCACGCCGGGTCGGGCGCTGTGCGCTGTGCGCTGTGCTGTGCGCTGTGCTGTGCGCTGTGCTGTGCGCTGTGCTGTGCGCTGTGCTGCGCTGTGCTGTGCTGTGCTGTGCTGTGCGGTGCTGTGCTGTGCGCTGTGCTGTGTGCTGTGCTGTTGCTGCGCTGCGCTGTGCTGTGCTGTGCTGTCCCTAGATGTGCAAACACTGGGACATGAACTGGCTCAGGGCTAGAAGCACACATTTCACAATTTTTGTATTATTTGTAGAATTTGTATAATTGATTTCAAGGATTCCCCAGAGGCCGTTTAGGCCTATCGAGGGGTCTCCATTTCTGTACAGTTAGAATGAGAATATGAGAATACAAAGTGAGCAGGGAAGGAGAAATAACATTTTTGATTTCAGAGACCGGATTTCATTGAGCAGCACTGTCGTGGCGATAAATCGGCCGTGCAAAAAAAGAGGAAGCAATGGAAGTCCACATTATTTGTTGTCGTTGTTGTTCTCTGCTACTAGTATTCTCAATGTAGGCATGCGTAGGCACTTTCATGAAAAAAACGAGAAAAATGCGATCACGCCAGGATTCGAACCTGGAATCTCCTGATTCGTAGTCAGGCGCCTTGTCCGTTGGGCCACGCGACCGTCTACAGTTTCACAAACCAAGAGTTCATAACCCCCAAGAGTGTGCAACGGGCATAGACCCAGTGCTCGGCGAAATTCCTACATTACGTCATGCGCAGCTTGTCATCCGAGGTAAATTTGGGTTCTTTGCGATTTCTGGAAACTATACCCTAAACCGCTCCTAACTCAAGGCTGTAGCCTCGACTCTTCGAAGCTTTTTTTGAAGACATTTCGGACGTAGATCTACGTCCAAGTCGTACTTTCTCAAAAACAAACTCTTTCTCCAAGAATCCATGGACATCGCGACAGGAAGAAGTGAGAACGCTGTTAAAAATATTGCATTGCCGTCGAGGACAATCATTCTGATAGCTGTGCAACTCAGCCGAAAAATGCTCCTTCGACGTATCATCAGTCTCTCAAGTTCCTCAACCATTTGAAATCATCTTCGAGGAAAGCACCGGAAATATGCTGATGGCCTGGGGAAGAAATTGTTCTTGAAGAGTCTGACTGCACTGGTGAAAGAAGAAGGCGATGAAGCCGAAGTCGGCGAAGAGTCACCATTGCATCGAAAAAATAAATAGTTTTGTCTCTTGGGTCGTATGCTTTGTTTTACTTTTGCCTTGCTTCTTGTCGTTGAGGCTCAGACTCAGACTAGAATCGCAGTTTAGGCAGTTTACCCTGGGGAAGCATCCTGGTTTGACTGTAAATTTTAGAAGAATTCATCGGCGTGACTCATCGCACTGCACCAAAAATGACGCAATGAAGGAATTCCGCCGAGCGGGCTTCCATACAGGGACTGATCAGGAGTTGCACACTCTTGGGGGTTATGAACTCTTGCACAAACCCATATGTGCAGGACAACATCATTATTGGATGTGTTCTATTTCACGTTCTGGGCCCGCAGGTTTGAAAATTCGTTGCTTGTTCGACCCTCGTTTTATCCAGTCCAGCTCTAGGCATTAGGAGTTCAGTGATTTATTGAGCACTCTCATGTTTGGTAGTGCCTTTGCTGTTTGCATTACGCAGAGCTCACTGACTTGTCAGTTTGAGCACTCTGGCAAGGTACGTTCGGGCCTGATTGGAAATTTTTATTTCCATTGCTATCAGGTTCGGCGTCATTTCCTCTGTGCTGCGCTGATGAGTTCACAAAGAACGAAACAGCATGCTGTCCGCAGATTGAGTGATATATTTTTATATTTATTTTTATTTTTTTCTAAGTCCACTTATCTTCACTAGTTTGAGGGAAAGAGACAAACGGGAAAAGTCTGAAGAAAAAATTGACTGTCACCACCAGGACTGGAACCAGGGACCCTGGCTTGTAGCTAGCGATGCTCTAACCACTGAGCTATGGTGTAGTCAGGACACTTATGGTCCCGAATAAATGCGGAAAGTGGTGGCGGGGCCCTGCTGTTCAGCCGACCTTGGTGGTGTGGACGTGTGCACAGACAAAGCACGGCAAGAAAGATAGGGAATGACGTGATGCACATACTAGTAGTATACCTGAGTAGTAGTAGTCATGTGTGTGTTTGTCATGTGTGTGTGTTTGTCATGTGTGTGTTTGTCATGTGTGTGTGTTTGTCATGTGTGTGTTTGTCATGTGTGTGTTTGTCATGTGTGTGTTTGTCATGTGTGTGTTTGTCATGTGTGTGTTTGTCATGTGTGTGTTTGTCATGTGTGTGTTTGTCATGTGTGTGTTTGTCATGTGTGTGTTTGTCATGTGTGTGTTTGTCATGTGTGTGTTTGTCGTGTGTGTGTTTGTCATGTATGTGTTCATGTGTTGTGTGTTTGTCATGTGTGTGTTTGTCATGTGTGTGTTTGTCATGTGTGTGTTTGTCATGTGTGTGTTTGTCGTGTGTGTGTTTGTCGTGTGTGTGTGTTCATGTGTTTGAATTGTTCTTGTCTGGTCTGTTGTGTTTGTCTCGTGTTCACGCTCCCAGGTCAGTACTTGGCATTGGACCTCGACCACAACGGCATGCTCAGCAAGCAAGAGCTGATGGGGTGAGCTACCTGTGGGTGTGGGTGTGGGTGTGGGTGTGTGTGTGTGGGTGTGTGTGTGGGGGGGGGGGGGGGAGGGGAAGGGGGGGTTGCTTGTGTACTAGTACTCCCGTCATTGATATGTTTACTCCTGTCACTGCTGTATTTACTCCCGTCGCTGATACGAGAGGTACCTGGTTCAAGTCCTGCCTGGGAGCGGTTTTTTCAGCCGTGCTGCTAGCCACGGTCAACTGGGAACTTGTGGCCAGGCACAAGGGGTACATGGATGCGGCTAATGGGGTTTCTCGGCACTTGTGCCAGTGGTTGTGAGACGTATCCACTCACCCCCGCCGTTAGGCGCTGCATCTGCCGCTAGGGTTTACCGGGTGTTAGCGGCCGTCGTGAGTTCCCTGCGGGAACGGACACGATAATTTACTTCCTTCCTGCTGTGTTTACTAATGTGTCTGGTGCATAGCTCGTGTGTAGTCAGCGTAGTCCGTCCACCTCACCAGCAAATGACCGTCATAGGTACTAACATAGTGAAAATAGTCAGAATACCGACAGCGGCTGTATAGTTGCCCGTGGCACATGATCACCACGCTACAGATGTGCTCTGGTGCAAAGTCACCACACCGGTGATATACGGGCTAGACCTCTGTGTATGTGTGTGTGTGTGTGCGTGTGTGTGCGTGCGTGTGCGTGCGTGTGTGTGTGTGTGTGTGTGTGTGTGTGTGTGTGTGTGTGTGTGTGTGTGCGTGCATGTGTGCATGTGTGTGTGTGTAATGTGTGATGTGTTTGCTGCTGCCGCCGTGTGCTGTGTTCCTGTTCAGGTACGGTACTGGGACGCTGAGTCCCGTGTTTGTAGACCGTGTGTTTGACGAGTGTCTGACCTACGAAGGAGAGATGGTGAGTGTGGCGGTGACATGTTGTCGTTTGTGATCAGGTACTAGTAATGAAACTCTACCCAGTGCTGTTGACAGCTAGCTGTTTCGGCCATCTATTGTCGGCCTCATCAGTACAGCTATGGGCTTTTTAGAGTCTTTGTGTGTGTGTGTGTGGGGGGGGGGGGGGGGGGGGTTGTTGTTGTTGTTACTTTATTTTACTTCACCAGAATTACAGGCAGTAGAATGCCTTCTCACTAGACCAGGTGAAAAATAGAGCAGGGTTTAGACAGCAGAGGAAAGATCACATAATTATTTGATCAATGAGCTACGTTAATCAGTGAATTTTCAGGTGGGATAAAAGAGCGGTCCGGAATTGACCTTGTTTCTCCAGTAATCGTATAGATACTTCAGCACTGTATTCCTGCAGCAGTTTGTTGAATTTCTTCTGCACTATGTAGCCGGTTGCTCATGGTATTGGTGGTGCCTTTCAAGATCCTCTCTGCAATTTGTTCTTTGCCGTTGCCACTGCAAGCACTCACGACATCTCCCACAGGGGCGTCACCCGTAATGGGCATGGGGGGGGGGGGGGGGGGCACGTGCATCCCCCTAAAAAATTTGACCTTGGTTTTTTGCGAACTCCTGGTTATGAAAAGTGTAGTGCTGGTAGAATCTACTAATAAACTGCATGCACTAAAACTAGTTGTTGTACTGCGCTGCTGCGATCGCGTGACGCGGCTTGAGTGCATGTAGCGACTGCATGTACATGACCAGTACGACTCGTAGACTAGTTACACTGAAATGGCACCAAATGCCTGAAAATGCTTGCAATTGCCTTCAATTTTTGAAATTTTTTCCCGGGGGAGGATAATGAAGAATTCTTGTCCCCGATCGATTGTAGCGTCTTCTTGGCTTGTTGCAGAATCAAAAAGTCTTTCATTGTAGTTACACTGAAATGGCACCAAATGCCCGGAAATGCTTGCAATTGGTTTCAATTTTTGAATTTTTCCCCAGGGAAGGCCCCCGTACCCCATGGCCACCCCACCTCCAAAGTCCGTGCGACGGGCCTGCTATCAGCGAACTTTTTCGTGTTTTCCTGTGCAAAATTCCTGTGCACCCCCCTGTGAAGGGGTCCGGTGACGCCCCTGTCCCAGTACTTGTACTTGCTTCAGCTTGTCCAACACGTGGTCTGCACTACCACACTTCATGTCCACAATTCGGCAGTTCGTGCCACTTGGTAGCTGGTGAACTTGAAGCCAGCCTTACTTGTGCCATCATCTCTGTGGAGAGTGGTGCTAGATGTTTCCTTCAGGTACTCGCCAACTTGCATTGAACTGATTTGCTTGAGCTCTACAAGCATTTTGGAGAGCAGCCCGTCGGCACTTGGAAGGGGATCTGCTGATTTACCGACCATTTTCAGTACTGTTCGGATAACTGGGACCGACATGCCTTGCTCCCACTTTCATCGCCAGTAACTGTTAAGCCAAGACTGCACTCCCTCACAGCGTATCGATATTTCTCACCATCCACCGTCTGCACATCTGTGTCACAGCCTTCCATTTTTTCATGCGCATCCATCAGGCCAGCAGCAAGAGAAGAAATCTTGCTCCGAACTCCCTACTCCTTGCTCTTCTTTCATTCTCCTCGGCCTTCTTTCATTCTCCTGGGCCTTCTTTCATTCTCCTGGGCCATGGGTGGCTATCAGCAGCCAGTACATTTTTCGGAGTATGTGATGTGGCGTGTGTGATAATAAAGAAAGACTGAAACAAGAGTGAAAAAAAGAAAATATAAAAAAGAAAATATGGATTCACCGGCCAGAAAAAAAGCCACTTCAACCAGCTGTGTGG